TAAAATTAATCCATTAATCAGGTAAGAAAAGGGACAAATTAATTAATGCTAACTTACCTTTTAGCTAAAGAAATGAAAAACAACACGGCACCGCAAGCGACACACAAACGACACAAAAAAGAATAGCACACGAAGAAGAAGACGAAATCACTCCTGAAAAATCATCTTTCATTCATTTAATTAATTTCATTAATACTTTTCTGGTACGACATTAATTAAAAAAGAAAAGAAGAAGAAACAATGAAAAAAAAACTGAGCATAAGTTAAGAAGGGAAGAAAGTTGAAAAAAAAAAAACGTCATTTATAATGACAAATAGTATTAAACAATGCAAGAATTATAAAATTTGAAATAAAAATTGCAATAAAAGAAAACAAAAAGGGCAGAAAAGTAATTAAATTATTTGTCGATTAATAGATGCTGCATAATTTAATTAATATTTGTTTCTTAATTAATTAATTTTTTACTTTTAAGACTTTTCTACACTTTTAGATATGTAAACAAAGCGAAGTTTTTATCAAATATTTTCATTACCATTTAAATTATTAAAAAATATGAAAAAATGGCAAATAAAAAGAAAATAAAAAGTTTAATTGAATAATTAAGTTATAGTGTTTTTCTATAATTTGAAAAAAAAAAATCGTTTTTTTTCTTCCATTTAAATTAATCAATAAACAGAAGCAATGATTGTTAGTCAATAAACGAAAATTAGTCATGAGAATGAAACCAGTTTTTCATTTTTCTTTTTTTGTTTTCTAATATTTTTTAAAATTATCACTTTTTATTTCTTTCTTAATCTATAAAAGAAAAGACAAAAATTTAATAATAAATTAAATATTTTTAAAAATACAAATTAAAATTTGGAATCCATTTTAGATATTATAAATTAAAGAATGAAAAATATATTTGTATGAAAATAATTTGAAAAAGAAGAGGAAGAAATGAATGTAAGTTTCAAAAACAAAAAATTGCCCAAGCAACTGCTAGATTGACAAAAAAAAGAAGAAAAGAGCCTAGCTGGATGAAGATAAAATGATCCAATCAATCCTTCTTTGAAAATTTTCTGATGTCACTTGAAATATTCAATGAATGAATTGCTTGCATTATTTTTCTCATTTATAAAAATTTTATACTTTAAGTAAAAATTGTTTAACATTCGCTTTCATACAAACATACACATTACCAAGTTGACACAATTTTCATTTATAAAACTTTAAATCATATAGATGACAATAAATGACAGATATGTTTAGTATTTATGATGAAAAAATACGAATAAATATGATAATTAATTTATTACAAATAAATTATATCACTATTTTTGGTTAGTATTAATCATATAATTAACGATTTCATATCATATTTACAGCTTACTTTTACGATCAATATTTGGTGACAATTGTTACATACATACACACACACACACACACATGCACACACATATATATTCACACATATACACACACATACACACACATATACATACACAGACACACATATGCACACACAAATATATTCAGGAACACTTTAATGCACTGAATGGATCCACGAACATATACACATGCATGTCTTTATCAATTTATTCAAAATTGATGCACGAATTTGATCAAAGATTGAGACCGAATATTAGTATTTTCATGAATGATTCTTCTTTTGTTTTCTTATTTTCTATAATTTTTTTTTTTAACGTGTAAAAGATACTTAATTAGGTTTACTATTTTTCGACAATAACAATGAAATGTAAGTAAGAAAAAGAAAGAAATAATGGAGAAAAGAAACGAAATAGTTATATACTTTATTCATGGAATTCTTAACTAAAAAAAATGAATAACTTGATAATTAGCCAATTAAACATGCAGAGGATAGATGAAGACAAGAAAGGTTAAGGAGTGGCTGTGAAAATAGTAAGAATTAGCTAGAAAGATGATATGAACGTGGGGGAGGAAGAGGGAGGGGGTAGGGGGGAAAGGTTGAGGAAACAGTAGGAAATAAATAAAAAGGTGACAGGAATGAGACAAGAAAGGTTGAGAGCGAAAAAAGAGAGTAGGAAGAGGAAAGTAAAATAGAGCATAAGATGGCAAATTAAGTTTACATTTAATGCTGCAAAATCACAATTGCGTCTATTGGATTAATGTATTTGATTTATTTCACTCTATCCATTTCCTTTCTATTTCAACTCTCTTCATTTCCATTGTTACTTTTTGCTTTTTCTTTTTCTTTTGAAAAGCTTTTCTTTTTCAAAGATTTTTGCTAAAAAAGAAAAAAAAATTCAAGCCAATTTTATATTATATTATTGCTGAATTGAACTTGAAGAAATTTCAAAATTAAATTTTTTTTCCCATTGGTACTTCATAGTACTCTTTTAAATTAATATCAATTTACATGTGGAAAATTTCTCGAAATTCAAAATATTTTGCAGTTTTAACTAAAATGAATGGTTAATTTTTCTTTAAATTATAAAATGACTTAAGTTATGGCAAAACAAAAATTTCATTAATATTCGAAATATTGGAAATTTTTGAAAAGAACAAATCAATGCATTTTTTATTGTTTTGAAAATTTTGAATTGAAAACATTTTTCTTTTTTGAATAATGAATTTGTTTGGAGAAGTTTTGAAAAAAGAGAAAAGATGGAAACGATATTTAATTTTAAATGATATCAATTAAAATTAAATTAAATAACTCATCAATTAAATAACATTTTTGAATCAAAAATGGTGCAAAATTATGCGCAAAAAATTAAATATGTAAAATTTGACGGATTTATTTCGTAGTAAACGTTCCACACACACATACATACACATACACACACACACACACATATACAAACATATACATATGAACACACATACACACATACATACATACTTGATGACATATATCGATATATTAAAAAGCATACCGTTGTTATCTAAAAACTGGAATTGATGAAGCTAGAAAATAATTTATCAACAATTTATAGAAATGCAAAAAAAAAGAGGACAAATGAGAAGGACAAGTAAAAAGGATAGGAAAGGTCAAGAAAGGTCAGAATGATGAAAAGAAATAATGCAAGAAAAAGTTTATGAAAATACATCATCGAAAAAGAATACCTATCAGATGTATGTTTACTCAATCAGTTGACATTAAACAAGAAGAGAAATGAAAACAACCGTTAACATGCAACCTTCTATTTCTTCTTCTTTTTTCTTAACATTTTTAAAATCTAACAGTTTTAAATAAATCAAAGCTAACAATGATATTGATAATGTTGATAATGATATGCTATGATAATTTCATTCAATTTATATAAGAGTAAATTTGATTAAAATTTGCATATGGAATAAAAATAAATTAATAAATGGTTAAATAAAAATTCCCAATAATTGATATCATATATTTGTTGCAAAAAAAAAAGAAAAAATATCAATGATTGATTGTTTAATTAGGAATTCTCCATGAATTAATTAATTGCTCATTAGAAAACAAAAGTGATAAATTTATTAAAGCAAAATGTATCGATAATTAACTGATTAATTAAAAATCATTAATGAACTGACTAACTATTCGTCGGAAAATACAAGTGTAAATTTACTAAAACACAATATGTCAATGGTTAATTGAATAATTAAAAATAATTTATAAACCAATTAAATACTCATTAAGAAATTGAAACGATAAAGTTATTAACTCAAATTTTTTTCCACAAAATTGGTCATTTTTTTGCATAAATTATTGTTTTTATTTTAATGCATTTATTTGTGAAAGAAAAAATTAATAAATAATCAAAAAATATTTTATAAATTTTATTACCAAATTGCATTTTATTATTAATGGATATTATTTTTCAGTAATAATTTGGGAAGAAAAAAAAACTTCGACCAATTTAAAATTCATAATTTTTTCAAACTTTATTTCTTCCCATGAGAAAATAACATGACAGTTTAGCATTTAAAAGGATAGAAATATGTATGAAATTATAAAAGGAAATGAAATGAATTCAGAAGGGATTTTATTTATTTATTTATTTTTCACTTTCTTTTTTCTTTTTGTTTTTTAAAATAAAACTTTGGACATTTATAGAATGTGAAATTTACAACTGAAGAAAAAATTTCAAAAATTATGCCGTTTTCCACTTTTCTTTCCCTTCATACTCATTCACTTTCCCACTTATTCTCTTCGAATTTTATTTATTTTTTTTTTTAAATCAAATTTCAGCTAAAATCAAAATAATATAAATAGTAGCGTTGTTGGTTAGTGAAATTAAAATTATTTAAGAATTTTAAAAATGTTTACAAACAAATATTTGTTTAAATGAAAAAAATCAAACTTTGGAAGTGATTAATTTCGAAAGTATTCATTTGCACTCTTTACTTTTTATTTTTTATTCTTATTTGCTAATAAAATGTTGCGGAAGTGAAGTAATTGCATTCGAATTACTTTTCTTCACATGAAAATAATCCTATTTTCATTTTGGCTCTTTCAAACTCTTCTTGGCCTTGGCCTAATGATAAGTTTTGCCCTAAATTCAATCAACATGTACATAACAAATATACAAATATTTGTTCACTTGAGGCTCTATCTTTTAATGATATTGGAATTAATAAGAGAAGATAAGTAAATATATTTGTAAATAAATGGGAATGATTGATTAAATTTATTGAATAATACAACAAATGATATGATAATACGACAAATAACAAATTTCAAAAATATCATCATACGATAGGATTATTATTTTTACAAACTAATCCTTCCAAATTAAATAAATGAATTCCAATTTGAAATAAGTAAATGTAAATACATAGATGATAATGGCTAACTAAATTTATTGAATAATAAATAACAAGATATGTAAACGAAATATTAACATTTTATAAAATTTAAAATTTTTAAACTTTAAAATTTATCACAAAATTATTTTGATACAAAAACATTTCCTACCTATACAATTAAATCTTTTCTAATTCAATTAATAAATTCCATTCTAAATTATGATCATTTTTGCCATCATTATCATTATCAACATTATTATTATCTTATATTTTTCATTAGGAACTAGTTAATTGCATTTTTTTTTAATTACTCATAATAATATGATAAAAGAAATGAAAAAAGAATGAATGAGTCATTCATATATTAAATATTTTATTATAATATTGCAGTAATATAAATGCCATCTATAATGTTATCACTATTGTTATAACTGGTTGCGCAAAAGTTTTGCATTTTTCGATGCAATATAACTGGTTTTGTACGAAATTTTGCATTTTCAAATTTTAAATTTATGAAAAATAACTGAAATAACAGTGATAATCATGAAATCACTGCATTATTTTAATTGTTTCTATCAAAAAAAGAAAAAAAAGTTTGTAATCAGTTTTAATAATTGATAAAAAACCTATTATTAAATGATTAGCTCCTTATCATGTGGTAATTACTTATCTAAAAAATGAATAAACAATAATGAAACAAAATAAAATAGTAAAGAATAAATAAATATTGACATTATTATTAGCTGATTACTCAATTACTTATATATCAATTTTTCTCATTTTATCTGATTGTTTAATTAGTACCAAATTTAACTTCTCATTATCTAATAATTTACAGATATTTGAAATGGCAAAAAATATAAAACCAAAATGAAAAAAAAGACAAATAATTTATCATCAATAAATTAGTTAATTAAATTTAAAATGAGAACAAATTGAGTAAATTGATGAAGAGAATGAAAAAAGAGATGTTGTTGTTGTTGTTGATAATGTTAATGATGACGAAGGAATGATTGTAGTAATGAAGGAAGAAGAAGAAGAAGAAGAAGATAGACGAGAATAAATTATGGCAGAATATAAGCAGGTTTTCATTGAAGTTGATCTTAAATTGAAGATTATCAAACAAGCAATAATACCAACTACACCAATAATGTCAACAGCAATGACAACAATGCCCAATAGAACATCAACAACATTAATAGCCAAAATACTTGAATTTGTTTGTTTGATTTACTTTTGTTGTCTCATCTTTATTGGTTAGATTGGAAGCAGTTTGACAACTTTTCCATCGTTTTATTCAAATAAATCCATTATTGATTTATCAATCAATTTTGATCATTTTTCCTATCATTATATTTAGATTTTAACCTTTTATCTTTTCTTATTTTTCAATCAATTAACAAATTAGATTTTACAAAAAAAAAAGTTGTTAATTTACATATTCATTGCAATAAAAATTGTAAACAAAAAGCAAAAAACATTTTTTGTAAACATTTTTAGAAAACTGTAAACAAAATTATTGTTTGTTATTGTTATTATTTACATAATATTACAACAATTAAGGATGGTGAAAAAAACGATGGATAATTATTACTGTGATAATGAAATTAATTGTATCCCAATTATTGAGGCATTTTTTTAATAGTTAAAATTGTGCAATTCTTAATTCATAATTGTTATTATCATTATTATTATCTTGCAGAAATAAATGACATTAATTACTAATTGTCAACATTACTATCATCATTAATAGTAATTAAGCACTAAAAATTTTCTGCATTCTTTCTTTTATTACAGCAAATATCATTTATTTCATTAATTTATTTTCTAATTCATATATTATGAAGCAATAATTTAACAGAAAGTTATAGAAAAGAAAAAAACTTTCACATTTGCTTGCTAAAGATCGAATAAAAATTTCAAAAAAGCTAAAGATATGATACAATTGATGTTTTAACAAAATATGAATAAAATCAAAACTTGAACAAATTTGAAATTCGATACTTTTTTACATTAAACCTCATCTGTTTTTAACGGGAAAAAATTTTTTTTTCATTTTTAATTTTAAAAATGTGAAGCTTAACATTAAAAAGTTGATGACTAGATTATCCAACAGCACTTAAATTATCAAATGTATACGATTATAACACATATTAGACTCAAATTGAAATTTTAGATTTAATTCATTTTTTGATAGGTTTGATAAATTCATGAACATAGTGAAGGACAATGAATAAAATTGGAAAAATTATTGAACCAAGTCTTAACATATTAGTAATTAAAATTGTAAGTTAAAAATAATCAAAATTTAAATTTATTAAAGAGACTGGTTGCAGGATAAACAAAAAAAATTAAACTTTGGAATTTTTTTTTTGCAAAATTTAATTGTGGATGTCAGGCAATTAATTGCTTTAATTAATTTCCTAATTTTTAATTCATCTGATAAAAATGAGCAACTTAAAAAAAAATTTGTTTAGAAGATTTAACTTTTAATTTAGAAAACTTTTATTTGAAACCATTCATTGTAAATTTATCATTTACAAAATATAATTTCAAATTAATAATTCATATAAGTATGGGAGGAAGAAATCGAAAAATGGGAAATAAACAAACGAGGCAATAACTGATTTTAAATGAAAAATTAAGACAAAAATTTTAAGCTAACTTAAATATAAACAATTTCAACTCAAATATTATGTTGTCAACAAACATTTTGAAAAAAAAAGAACCAATAATAAAGTAAGCGTAAATTTGAAAATTAGCAAAGATATATTGGCTAATTAAGGGCTAAAAAATGCAAAATATTCATAGGAATCATAAAGTATCATTTATCATTTGATAAGTTGAATAATGATAAGATTTGTGATATATTTATACTAGGATAGATAGAATTATCTAGAAATACCAATATGAGACTAAATGAAGTTGAATCATGATAAGATATATCTTTCTATTTGTATAGACAAGATTATTATTGATAAATATATCAGTATGATGCTAAATGATATATCTATATTCGTTAGACAGGAAATGATATACCTATAGTTGTAAAGATAAGAAATAATATATTCATACTTGCAAAGATAGGAAATGATATATTAATAATTGTAATTGTGTGGATAGTATTATTATTGATAAACATATCAATGTGATAGTAAGTGATTTGTGATAAGAAATGATAGTTTAAAATGAAATGAATAAATAGTGAAAGTGGTAGGATGGAATGATTTGTGTAGTTATTACAGCAAATCGGGTATAGCGATATTTTGAAAGTAAGCAAGAGGGATGGATGATGATGATGATGGTTAGAAGAGTTGAGAAGAGTGATTAGTTAACTAGCATCACTCTCCTAACGAACAAGAAGCATTTCATTTTCTCTACGATCTTGAAATGAAGAAATGGAAATGATATTTGTTTACAAAATCAGAAAGTAAGAGTAGGATAAAGGAACGGAAAGAAGAGGAGGAAGAGGGGGAGGAGGAAGAGAAGGAAGAGGAGGAGGAGGAGGAGGAGGATGTAGAAGAGGTATAGTGATTGGATTGAGCTATATTACTATTGTAAGTTAAAGGATCTCGATCAACTTCAAAATATAAGAGGCACAAATTGAGAAGGAAGAAGACACATCTCTATCTAACTACCCAAACAACCACCTACACAAATGTATACAGATAGACATACACACGTATACTATACAATTATAAATATTAAAAGTTTGTTAGTATGACGTATCTGAGACGTATCCACGTATCCACCCCCATACTTACGCATAGAAAAAAATACGTGAAGTTCTAAAAATTGTAGTTATTAGCTCTAAAGATAAGTAGTGAGTACATAT